GAGAAAATATTTGTTTTGCAGCACCTCCAGTGTCAGAAGGAGAGCCAGAAGCTTTCAGAGCAACTCTCGCTGCTGAAGGAGGAAAACAAGGCTCTCTATGAGGAAGGAGTCCGTCTCCTGAACCAGAAGGATCTGTATGTCAGGTAAAGGCTTAAGTGGGAAGGGATGTGGAGTCAGGAAAAAAAACCCACAGAACTACCCAGGAGCTGCTCTTTATTTGCCTGATAGTGACACCGGATTTGACTTTCTGCAGCCTTCCATGTCTCTCCTGGTTAGGACACGTAGCACTGAGAGATCTGTCTTAATCCACGGAGAGGTAACCCAGAAGAGCCAGGGCTGGGATTTGTAAAGCTGGGAGTCAGTTTGGGGGATACTTTGGGTCCTTTCCTCAGTCAGTTTCCACTTGGTTGGTGCTTAATGCAGTCTTGCAAGAAAAAAATGAACAACCAAATGGTCAGATGTGACAGTGAAAGGTGGAGTCTAGGAAATCAGTGCACTCGCTCTGCCTTCAGCTGTGTGGACAGAGCTTGGTAGATGGCTGCAGCTCCTGGTTCAGGCTTGGAGATAGATGCCTTTGTAAATGCAGAACGTCTTCCGCCTCATTTTTGGCTTAAAACACAAAAGGGTTTCACATCTTTGTGTTTGTGCCTCCTCAGGAAATATAACGAAATGCAGCTCCGCCACAAAGACAAGATCCGCAGAGCCAAAGCAACGTTTATCCAAGAGGTGAAACAAAGGGACAGCAGAATTAAGCAGCTTGAAAACGAGCTCAGTGAGTCAAAACTCCAAGTGGAAAAGGTAAAAGAACTCATCGGGGGTTTCCCCACAGGGAAGGCAGGGAAAGCTGACTGCAGAGTAGCTCTTCTCCTTACAAGGAGGTGATTGCCACAGTAAGCTTTGCAGAGCAGCTCCAGCAGAGGTGCACTTGCCTTGCAGTGGCAGACAGGAGGCTTGAATAGTTAGAGCTGATGATGTAAGAGCCACTTCTTCTAGCAAACCTCCTGGAAAGGGACAAAGCAGCCCTGAGAAAGGCACCTCGGTGCCTGTGGTGTGCTGGGAGAGACTGTGAGGTTTGCAGAAGATAGAGAAGAGCAAAGCATAACTTCTGGTTGTTTCCTTCTGCAACGGTGCTCAGGGGAAGGCACTGATTGCACAGATCACTACTGAGAATGAGAAGTTACTCCAGGAAAGAAGGCGGCTCCTCCAGAGGATCACTGACCAAGAGGAGACCCCTTGGAGCAGCAGGTCTACGGTTGCTGCCCTGCAGAGCAGGTAGGCACCTAGCGATGTCCCAGCGGGATGCCCTGGGAGCCTGCCTCGTCTTTGCGTGTCTGCAAATGTGCTTTCTATGAAGAAATCCTTAATTTTGGCTGGAGGAAAGCCCGAATTGTGCCTTGCTCATTAGTGCTGGAGCTGTTGATTGCTGTGGGATATAATTAGGCCCTCTGCCCAGCAAAACTCTTGGCATACAGCTGAAGTCCATGGAGGCAAAAGGATCTGAAGTCGAAAGAGGAAGATCCTTTAGGAAGCATAATGGGGCCAGAAGGGAAATAACCTGCGCCTTGTTTGTGCAACACACCCAGAGTGAAGATCCTGGATGAGGAGAACATGCGGCTGCATGAGAGCAAACTCCTCCTCTCTGGCCACGTGCAGCCCTCGCAGCGCGCGCTGAGGAGCAGCCACACTCCCAGCACAGAGGTGAGACCCCCTGGGCTGTGCTGATCTCAGCAGACAGCTGGCAGGAGCCATGTCCTGCTGGGAGGATCAGTGTCTGCAGCTGCAGTTGAAGTGCCAGAGAAGGGCTGGACCACTCCTTTCCTGTGGATGGAATGGGGATGCCAAGCATGCAGCAAACTGCAGTGGCTTGTTGGCGAGGAGGAACTTGTGGGTTAGCTGGTATGGCACTCAGATTATTATCTGGTCTTGCTTGTTAAGCAATGAACTTAGGATGAGAAGTCCAAGGGTGATCAAAACATCCCTTAGAAGTACTGGTAAAGAGATCAGGAGCACAGGTAGCATTCTCTAACAAAAAAGCTTTTCCAAGCATGTCACCAGCAAAAGGAGGACTAAAGAAAACATTGGTCTGCTGTTCAGTGAGGTTGGTCATCTCACAAATGGAGATGAAGATGAAGCAGAGACACTTAATGCCTTCTTCACCTCTGTATTTAACACCAGTGATGGGCCCTGGGATCTCCAGAGCCCTGAGCTGAAGGGCTGCAACCAGGGGGAATGATGAGCCCCAGGGTGACTTTGAACTTGTCTGGGATTTGCTGCTAGAACTGAAACCAAGTTGGAAACAGTGGTTACAAATGAAAAAGGACACTTTCAGGACCTGTATGGCAGTCCGTGGTGTTTTCTTTTTTTCTGGTTGTTTGACCTGGGCTTTGGGGTTTGTTAGCTTTTGACTTAAGATTCAGACTCAAAGGACAGATTTATGTTTAGTAGCACTGTAGAGCTGGGGGATCTGCACTGGAGTGGGGGACACCTTCAGCTCCAAGGCTGTACATCCAGGGTCTGATGTGCACCTCCTCTCTGTCTTTCCAGGACTTGAAGAGTGCCAACTTCTCTGAACGACAGCTGCAGAGTAAGGTGTCGGCGTCTCCCCGTGCCAGGTATTGTGGGGTAAAATGAGAAGGAAGGGATTTCTCCTTGCGTGTGATAAGGCAGGAATGGAGCGTTTGGGCTCACTCGTAGCCCTGTGCTGCCTCACAGAGGTGTGCTGTGGTTGTGTGGGTGGCAGGAGGTCAGATAATGCTTTAAGAATGACTTAAGAGCAGAAATGTGCTTTCAGTTTCCCACCACGAGAGCCACCAGACTCCCTCAGCAGCCTGAAGCCCGTGCACGACACCAAGCCTGAAGGAGGAGCTGAGAGCCAGGATTTGTCCTTCTGCTTGTCCCCCTCTCAGCCTTCAGAGATTGGGTACCTGAATGTAGCCTCACCTGGAGACACCACGGCCTCCCAGCTGCAGGAGGAGAGTCAGAGCATGAGCTCTGAGAACTTCTAACCTGGGAAAGACGTTTGTGAGGTACAGACTGGCAGGGCTGCCAGGATTTGGACTCCAGTTGCCATGCAGTGTTAAGGATTGCAAGAGGGAGTGTTGCCAAATGACTTGATGATTTCTGTGGTAACTAAATTATGCAGCAGCTTTTTTTTTTTTAATTAACTTAGCCAACAATAAATGCGTGCGCGTCATCTCCCACCTACCCAGAGGCTGGAATTTGCAGACAAACTCAGTACAATAGAAGGGGGGTGGGGTAAGACACGTGTTTCCCTGAATCCAAATTCCCTGCAAACTTTGTAAATAAAACTTGGAGAGATTTTCCTGTGCTTGGCTGTGCATCCGTGTTTCTCCGTTCCCCTCTGTGTGTGCTGAAGTGCTGCTTGCTTTGGCTTCAGCTGTGTGCAAGCGTAGGGAGGGGAACAGGAGGGGTCTAAGGTTTGAAGGGAGAGAACTGTTTTACAGGGGGAGGAATGGAAGGCATCTGAGCACAGTATGGGGAGTGAGAAGGGCCATTGAGGGAAGAGGAAGGAATTTGGCTGCAGATGGAAGCAGGGAGGAGCTCTGAGTGTAAGGAGGAGGGGAAAGGGAACCGAAAGGAGCAAGAAGGGAGATGGAGAGGCTGCAGAAATGGAATTTGGAACATAGGTGGTGAAAGGAGGGGATCTGAATCTGCAGAGAGGGAAATAGAGTAGATCTGAATGCTTACAAGCAGCAATGGAAGGTCTGCAAGGATGCACCCACAGATGGGTGGGAGTGGAAGGAGAGCTGATGTGTGCAGGGAGTGGGAAGGGGATCTGTGCGTGGAAAGAGGGAAGCAGAAAAGTTTGTGGCAGGTGCTGTGGGGGAGAGCAAATGGTATCTCAGGCTCCATCAGAAGAGAGGAGGCCAGCAGGGACAGGGAGCTGATTGTCCCCTGCTGCTCTGCTCTTGTGAGGCCTCATCTGCAGCACTGTGTCCAGGTCTGGAGCCCCGAGTACAAGAAGGACATGGAGCTGTTGGAGCGGGTCCAGAGGAGCCACAGAGATGATTGGGGGCTGCAGCAGCTCTCCTATGAAGACAGGCTGGGGGAGCTGGGCTTGTTCAGCCTGGAGAAAAGAAGGCTGCAGGGTGACCTCAGTGCAGCCTTTCAGTACCTAAAGGGAGCCTGCAAACAGGTGGGGAGTCAACTCTTGGAAAGGGGAAATGACAGCAGGACAAGGGGCAATGGTTTGAAGTTGAGGCCGGGAAGATTGAGGTTGGATGTCAGGGGGAAGTTCTTTCCTATGAGAGTGGTGAGGTGCTGGAACAGCTGCCCGGAGAGCTGTGGATGCCCCGTCCATCCCTGGAGGTGTTCAAGGCCAGGTTGGATGGGGCCCTGGGCAGCCTGGTTTAGCATTAAATGTGGAGGTTGGTGGTCCTGCACGTGGCAGGGGGTTGGAACTTCGTGATCCCTGAGGTCCCTTCCAACCCTGGCCATTCTGTGATTCTGTGAGTGGGGATGGAAAAGATCTGAGCGGGCAGGAGATGAATGCGAGTCAATGCTGGAACCGAGGGAATGGAAGCACACAGAGGACGGGACCCCATCACCTCTGAGGATCTCACCCCTTTCCTGAACACCGTAACACTGCTCGACAGAGCGGCCCTAAGGGCGGACACGCGGCTGAGCCCCGTCACCCTTCCCGGTGGGATTCAGCAGCCCGCGGTGAGGGTAAGGCTGCCCTCGTGTGGCTGAAGGGGAGAGAGGCAGGCAAACAGCGACGAGAAACCCGCAGATCCGTTCAGGTTATCGGGTTCCGCGCCCTCTGCTTCGCTCTCACTGCCGTCTCAGCAGCCGCCCGGTGCTCCGCCCCCCCTCCCGGCTGATCCCCTGCACCCGCAGCCCGCGCCGCAACTCCCAGGACAGACGGCGCTGCGACGGCAACGCAGCGCCCTTACGTGACGTACGTTACGTGATGACGTCACGCGCACAGCAGCTTCCGCCCGCTCGAGGGCGCGTAGCCCCGCCTCCCTCCACTCCGCTTCCGCTTCCGGGTGAGGCGGCCGTCATGTCGGCGCTGGCGGCCAACCCCAACAACCCTGTGGTGTTCTTCGATGTCACCATCGGCGGGCAGGTGGGCGGCGGGAGCTGCGGGCCGCCGCGGTGCCCGCCCTCGGGCTCCCCGTCTCTGGGCCGAGCGAACCACGAGGCTGCAGCCGCTCTCTACGCGCTGCTCCCTCCGTGCCGTTCCCCGTCCCCTTGGGTGCTCCGGAGGTTGCGTGACTTCTCGCGGTGGGGTGGCGGCGGCTGGGAGCTGCGCTGGGGCGGGGGGGAGCGGGGCGGAGCGGGCTAGCCGCCTGAGCCGCCGCTGTTTGTGCAGGAGGTCGGCCGCATGAAGATCGAGCTGTTTGCTGATGTCGTGCCCAAAACCGCGGAGAACTTCAGGTAGGAGCAGCTGGCGGCACCGCGGGCTCGGCTGGGCGCCCTGCCTGGCAGCGGGCTGCGAGGGGCGTGCGGGAGTGCGGTGGTTTCAGTGATCACCGCACCCGCCTCAGTTCTGTGTCCCCACAGTGTTGCCCGTGCAGCATCCCTATCACCGGGAGAGTCCACGTGGGCTGAAGGAGAAAGACCGCGGCCCCTCTCTGCTCCCTCTGTGGAGCTTCCGATACACTCAGTTCACAGAGGCAGCACTTTCATGTCATGGTAAAAACCTCTTTGCCGCCCCGTTCTCCATCTCTGACAGCAGAATTCACCACCTGGACATTCCAGTTCTGGAGAAGAGAACATAGCCTGTCCTCTGTGAGACATGGTGCCCTGTTCCACACTTTGGGATTGGTTTTATTTAACAGGTTGTTAAATATCCAGACTTTCTCAAAACTCCATTTCCAAATGGAAGCATTGAGTGGTTATCAGTGATTCTTGTTTCACCCCCACTGAAATAAGCCGAGTCCTGCACAGCATTCAGTGCGCGTTGCTGAGTGCCACCCTCTGTGTCCTCAAAATTCAGAAGTGGTTTATGCTTGGCTTTTCTGTGTTTTTTTCTTTTCCAGGCAGTTTTGTACCGGTGAATTCAGGTATGCGAGTTATTTTTTCCTTTTGCCCACATTCTCAGACACACTGGGCTGGGTGCTTGGAACAATGACCCACTTGGAAGTTTTCCTCACTGTATTGCTGTGCAATGGAAGAGTTTCAGAAATCTCTGATGAAAGCACGCCTGGCTCAGTGAGTCATGGAAGTCTTTTCCTTTGGGGCACAAATGCAGTCATACTCCTGTTGTTCTAAAAATGCCTTGCCTGAAAAAAAAACCAAACACATTGTGGCCCAGATGTCTGTACTGCAAATTGGAGTGGGATTCTTTGAGATGGTGAAATGCGTGCTGCAAACAGCTGTGCCCATTCGAGGCTTCCCTTGGCCTCTGGTAGCATCAGTGCAAAATTAGGATCCAGGATGGGCTGAAGGAGGTGGGTCGGTAGGTGATACATTAAGCCAGCTCCTAATGTAGGGGGCAACCCTGTGGGAATGTGACTTCCTGGGAGGGTTCTGTGGTGGGATTTACAATGAGTTGTAATGATTTTCCTTTTTATTTCCTTGTAGGAAAGACGGTGTCCCCATAGGTTATAAAGGAAGCACTTTCCACAGGTGGTACTTCTGCTTTTGTTTAGAGATTAACAGCACGAGGTGGCTTTGAGACCTGCCTCGAGGGTGCAGCTTCTGCTGTCTACCCTTTGGGTGTTGTCAAATACTGTCAGTGCTCACTGTTTGTAGACTGTAGCATTCACAGTCATTCACAAGGCATTTTTCTACTGGGAGCTAAGTATTGCTTTACTTTTTTAGGGTAATAAAGGATTTCATGATCCAAGGAGGTGACTTTGTAAACGTATGTACTACTGCATTGCTTTTGTCCTTTTCCTGTGCTGTACAGCATGCAGCTCGTCCTTCCCCCTGTTTTCTCTCTCTGACAGCATGACTCACTATAAAGCGAGGGGCTTTTCAAACTTGCAGAGGTTTTTCTTTCCACTCTGTTGTCCTTCCCGTTTCTCCTTTCCCCCCAGTAAGAGGCAGAGATCTCCACTGTGCGTGTGAGAAGAGATGCTTAAGTGCACAAACCAAGAATCTCTTCCAAGAGATCATTTTGAATCAAGTCAGGCTTAATAAAGAAAGTGTGTGTTAAGTGGAAAGGCAATAAGGGGAGACAGGCTGCAGACAGAGTAAATGGGGCTGAGATTCATGATCCCTGAGGTCCCTTCCAACCCTGGCCATTTGTGATTCTGTGGTAAATTTCACTGTCTGTGCTGGATTCTGTTTGAATTGCTTGTGCAGCTTTCTCTGAAAGGTTCCTCGCTGCCATTGTGCTGAAGGGTCTCAGTCCTTTGGCAGAGCACAGGAGCCTCTCTGCAGTGCAGCAGTTATGGGCCACGCTTCTGTGGTTGATAAATCAAGTCCTGAGGTCTGAGTGCTTGTGCTTGTAGTAAGGGCAAGGTGTGTTGACTTGGAGGAAAGGAATGAAACGTCTAAATGTGTTCACCACTGGTATATATAATGGCAGTGCAGCATCTCTTTTTTGGGCTGAGTTTAGCACGGTGATTTTGCTTATTTCAAGTTCATGCTGCAGAGCTGATGCTGTGGCTGACTAATTGCCTCTCTTGTGCAGGGTGATGGCACTGGAGTAGCCAGTATATATAGGGGGCCTTTTGCAGATGAAAACTTCAAGCTGAAACACTCTGCTCCTGGCCTGCTTTCTATGGTAAGGATAAAGTGAAGACTGGGAGCTTTTGCTATTTTCTCTCTGCCTTTTTCCTAAATGTATAAATTGTGTTTGCCAGACAGTAGGAATCTGTACAGTGGGATGGAAAGTGTGACAGACCTGTGTTGTAAGTTACCAGCTGGAAGATTGGTTATGGTTTGAGCAATGCAGGAGTCCTCATCCTCCAGCCTCCTTTCTTCTTACCTGTTGGAGCTCAGGAATGTGTTTTGTTTGCCCAGCTTTCAGAATGACTTGACAATTGCAGGTCTTGTACAGTGATGAGTGAAGGGTCTTTTTCTTCCCTTATACTGTTGTTGAACACTGACCTTAGTGAGGAGAAAACAAAGACTGTGGAGTTTCAGAGTCACAGCACTGTTACTGTGCTGTCTTTTAGAACATTTTTCCCCAGAGTGATGCTGCAGTCACTAAAGATGTTGTTGTGTGCTTGCACAGAGCAGCAGGACCTGACCTGATAGTGCACCATGTCCAAGCACAGGTGCTCTCCTGCAAATGTGTCTTGTTTCCTCTGGCTTATGAATCAGTAAGCTTAATAAAAGACAGTGAGGCCATTTCTGAAGCAGCAGCTCTTTCCAATGTCAGATCTCTCTGCCTCCAGCTTTGGGGAAGTCCTAATTTGTAATGCTTTGCATTTTGATGTTTTCACCCCGCAGGCAAACAGTGGCCCAAGCACTAACGGGTGTCAGTTTTTCATCACGTGCTCCAAGTGTGACTGGTTGGATGGAAAACACGTTGTGTTCGGTGAGTACAGCCTGGCATGCAGAGTCTTGGGCAGTTCCTGTGGCACAGCTGCTAAAATAAACAGCTGTGGACTGCTTTTTCCTTCCCCATCCATTGTGCCAGCGGAGGTATTTGTGCAGCCAGGTATTGAGATGCGTCTTTAGAAACATTTTTTTCTCAGCTTAACTTTAATCCAGATCAGATCCTTGATCGTTGTGTCACTGTTAGTACATAAATCCTTGTGCCAGTGCAGATGGGACGAAGGATGAGGGGATGGATGCCTTCCTACTCCACTGTCAGAGTGGGGCTGGCATCCAAATGGAGTTTCCAGCTGAGTTTGTAGGTATGAGATGTGCTTTCAGAGGATGACTGACTTTTCTGTGCTGCCTCTTGAGCTGTAAGATTCCAAGGCCAGGCCTGAAGCTCTTGTCCTGCTCACTGCTGTCAGTTTAGAGAGCCGTGCCCAGGGAGAGGAGCAGGAATTGGATGTGCTGGGGAAGGCAGCAAAGGTTAAAGCACAGCCCTGAGGTGGATGCGTTTCTCATTTCAGGTAAAATCGTTGATGGGCTGTTGGTAATGAGAAAAATTGAAGTAAGTGGGATTTGCCTTTTTTCTCTGTGAAATCCGTGTTGGAAAGTCATGGGAGGGCAGCAGTGGTTGTTGTGTTCTCTCCTGTGTAACGAATACCAGGGAATACCACTGACAATAACTGGTGTCATCAGTTGTCTTCACTGCAAGATAATAGGAAATCCGTTGTGAAATAGTCTGTCATTCAGATGGACTTTGGAAATGCTGTGCTCCCATGGCTGCTGCTTAGGCTTTGAGCAGGGATTTTATTCCCCCAGCTTGATTTGCAGCGCTTTGCATTTGTTCAGGAAGCTGAAATGAAAAGCTGTTCCATCAGACAGGAGTGTAAAGCAGATCGCTTCCGTGCCACTGCCCAGGATCATTCAGTGGGTGTCAAACCATCAGTTCTGCTGATGTGTGATTGGCAAATCTAATTAGAAAAGTTAAACCAATCTTTTGATGAGCTGCCAGGATACGTTCAGATAAATAGGAGCACTGACTGGGTGCCATGGCAGGGTGGTGAGCAGGTTTAACAAAGGGCAGTTGCTGACATCGTGGCACAGCTCTGGGTTGGGAAATGTGCACGAGGGCCTCTGCCATCAGAGAATGCAAAAAGCAGAGCTGCCAACCATTAGGTGTCTCTGGGTTTGCTGTTTTGATGAGATGTAACCTTGTATCTGTCCCCAGAATGTGCCCACAGGACCGAATAACAAACCCAAGCTGCCAGTTGTGATCTCTCAGTGCGGGGAGATGTAAAGCAGTGGAGTAGGAACGGGGTAAGTCTCAGGTTTCTGAGGCATCCGCTGTAGTTGAACAGTGGGTTTCTGTGCTCCTTGCTTCTCTCTTGACTTCTTGTCACGTTCGCATGAGCTTGCAGAAAGTTGGCTCAGCTCAGTGAACCATCACAAAGTGCTGCTTGGATAGCATGATGTTTTTTATCAGCTCAACTCCCTGAAGCAGTTTCCCTTCAGTCTACATGAAGACCAAAGGCAGCACTAAAGGGAAGTGATTTTGTGGCTGCAGTCTGAGGGAAGACGTGGTCAGCCCTGCCTTGGATGGGGTTAGGTTGCCTTGAAGCCTCAGCTTCAGAGAGCGGTGGATGAAAAGGGGTCTGCAAGAGGAATTGAGCTGGGGTTGCTCAGGCAGGAGGGAGCGGACGGTCGTTTAACCTGCAGCTAAGTGCTCTCTGCTGTTGCTGCAGAAAGCAGAGCATCCATGTGTGGTGCAGACAGGGATCAAGAGCAGTGCTGCAGAAAGAGAGGACTTAAGCCTTCCTGCTCACTGCAGCCATAGGGCAGCTGCCACGGGAGGGCTGAGGAATTGCTGTGTTACAGAGCCTTACCTTAATTGAGAAGAACACCGCTGTCCTCATGCAAAGGGAAACGTTTCCAGCATTACCCAGGCTTCATTTTGCTTAAACCAAACAGGTGCAAGGCTGAACTTAGACTAACACAGAGTATTCTGTTGGCGTTTTCACTAGAAAAATACCACAAGCATTCGAGCAAATCTGACCAGATTTCAGTGTGTCAGGCTGCAGCTTATCAAAAATCTGCTGTATGAGCCATTTGGTTGCTGACTTTTCAAATTTCAGCAGGCAGGCACTGACAAAAGCACTCCACACAGTTTTTAACCCTCCTTTATATGATTTCCAAAGATGTCTGGAATTACCCATGAAGACACATCCCTGCTGGCATGGTAAAGCCTTTCAGATTTGCAGTGCTTCAAATGCTTCTGTGTGATGAAGTGACAGTATGGAATGCAGTCACTCGGTGCTTCTGGCCTTTATAGGCTTTTGGAGATGGGGGGCAGCTTTGTTAATAGGCTTTCTTGCAGATGGAAAGAGCCTTGCTGATGTGTTGGGTCCCCTTCAGGGCTGCCCTCAGGCCCAGACCTATTGATCGTGTTTCTTTGGAGCCTTTCTGTATAATCTCTGGTCAACATCCAGCTGCATATCTTCAGTTTGCATCTGCTTCCTTCCCAGCCAGGTCTTAGGAAACATCTTTCTGCACACTGCTGCCTTTCGGCTAGCTCTTGACAGGAATGGGGTTTATCTCCCCCACCTTCAGACAGTTAAATGAGTTATTTGTAAAGATCTTTAAGATCAGCCTGGAGAAACAGGCAGTGTTGGTTATGAATTCAGAGCCAGGCGCAGGTGCTGGAGTGGAGACTTGTTTGCCATGAGCTGGTGCACGCAGCAGGCAGAACCAATTCAGCACCCAGTGCTGTGCTGCAGGATGCTGAAGGTGGCTGCTGAGCACCTGGGACAGTTTGTTCTCCTTTGTTTCAGTGCTCCCTTGTGGGTGGATTGGCCTTTGCCAGCTCCATGCAGCTCCAGCTCCAGCCAGTTCCCCTGCTGCTCCAGTCCTCCTCACAGACTCCTGAAATCATGAAATAATTGGCATATATCATTTTTTTTTAAGTATGTTGAAATGTAAATAAAGGATTTTGTTAAATATTTGCATAGTGGATATCAGTAAACGTGCCTGGGAGTGGATTCTGTGGGCAAAAAGGCATACTGCCTTCCCTATGGTGTGTGCATTATCCCAGCTGATTCGGTACAGAATGTTTCCTGTGTGAGGTGGTGAGAGGCATTGCTGCAGGGCATTTGCTAAGGGGAAAGCAGAAATGCAAGGAACACACCTGAGCTGTGCTGCAGCAGCTCTGGCTGTGAAGCTGCCCTGGCAGAGAAGTTCTGGGGGACACCTTTCTACATACAACCTTATTGAAGCTCAGGACAGGATAAAGGCATGATGGCCAGGATTTTCTGGGCTCTGGAGTGAGTTTTGCTGTTAGCCCTCACCTGGCACGTCCTGGGCCAAAAGGCACTGGGCTCTTATATGCCACAGGTGTGAGAGGAATTGACATGGGTGTTAGAAGGGTGTTGATGGAAGGTCTTTTGGTTAGCGGGCAGAGAATGAGCATGCCATAGAATTCAGGGCTCCTGAATGGTTGCAGAGAACAGAGGTGAGGCTGCAGGTCTGTGGAAAAACTGTCATTGTCAGACTGGGTTTGCAAGCTCACCTGCTGGGCAGCTCGAAGTCACCCTTTGTGGGCGCTGGGCTCCAAGGTGAGTTTTCTCTGCAGCAGATTAAATATCAGAGAGGTTGGACAGAGTCTGTTCTGTCAGGTGCAGTTGCTTTGTCAGTCCTGATCTGCCCCGTCGCTCCTCTCCTCGTGCAGCAGAAAGCTTTGTGATCTGTGCCTGAGGTGCAGGAGCGGGGCTGGCTCAGGGAGGTGTGGGCTGACGCTGACGTGTCAGAGGACAGATCCTGTAGGCATGCTTTGGTGTCATCTGCTACGTAACGGCTGCTCGAAATCTTTAGGGCAGGCTGTGGGATTGCACAGCTGCTGAGGATGCTTGCAGTTTATTCTCTCCTGCTCAGCGTGTCTCACTTGTACCTGCAACATGCCAGGTGATGAAGGAAACAAAGCAAAGGATCCCATTCCCATCCTGGCTTTACATAGCCACGATTTCTCCTAGGAGACAAGGGTTGAAAATTCCTCAACCAGAGGAGGAGAAAACTTGGGTAACAGCTGTGAGACAGAGGTGAGCAAAAAATGAGACGCTCAGCTGTTGCTCATGCTCAGGGAATGCATCTGGATGCCCTTTCCCTGTGGGGTTTAGGCGTGAGCCTGACTCCAGGCGGCTCAGAGGAGCTCTGCCTCCAGCTGCAGTGCTGAGGTTCACAGTTCTGGCTGTGGGTACCCAAATTCACTCTGCTTTCTCACCAGGGAAACCAGCCTATTTCTGGGTCCAGGCTCAGCAGCGTTTTCTCAGCCTGATGTATTTCTATCACTGTGATCAGCCAGTTGTACTTCCTGCATAGCAGGGGTTACACAGCTTCCCCAAATTAATATCTAACAGTGGTAAATCCATTACAACCTCTTGAAAGTTGTGCCAGTGGTTAATTGTATCCTGTTACATTTATCTACCTTGGACACTGAATATACTGAGTTTCAGCTTCCCAGCCTGTGGATCTTGCTGTTCCTTACTTGCTGGCTAAAAGTTCTCTCAAACACCAATATTTTTGGATTTAATTTCTTGTGATGAAGTCACCCTTCAGTCATGTGTGAAGCAAATTCTGGAATCTGCTGCAGAGCAGATGATTGTTATCCTCTATCTGAGCTCCAGCATCATTCTCCAATGGTGGGCACTGCAAACGGAGGCAGTTTGACTGCCTGTTACTCATCTGAACTTCACGTTCACCTCCAGCCCCTGCAGTGTGCCCTTCCTCAAAAGCTGCCCTGAGCTCATAAGCCATCAGGAGACACATCTTTATAGGCTTCATCACTGAGATTTGAAGATTCTTCCCGAGTTACTGATAAAACTGATAAGCAGCTGTGACTCCTTTGTTTTATGTGACCCCTCTAATCTATATACCATTGTATTTTCTGACATAGAATCACAGAATGCCTTGGGTTGGAAGGGACCTCAAGGATCATGAAGGCTCCAGAGGATGATCAGGGGGCTGCAGCACCTCCCCTATGAAGACAGGCTGATGGAGCTGGGCTTGTTCAGCTTGGAGAAAAGAAGGCTGTGGGGTGACCTCAGTGCAGCCTGCAGTACTTAAAGGGAGCCTACAAACAGGAGGGGAATCAGCTCTTTGAAAGGGGAGATAACAGCAGGAGGGGAAATGGTTTGAAGTTGAGGGAGGGAAGATTTAGGTTGGATATCAGGGAAGTTCTTTTCTATGAGAGTGGTGAGGTGCTGGAACAGCTGCCCAGAGAGGCTGTGGATGCAGGGAAGGGTTGGAGATTCGTGATCCTTGAGGTCCCTTCCAACCCTGGCCGTTCTGTGATTCTGTGAATCTCCAACCCTCCCACTGCATGCAGAGCAGTCAACTCCACGTTTAATACCAGACCAGGCTGCCCGCGGCCCCATCCAACCTGGCCTTAAGCACCTCTGGACCTTGAACACATCCAACCTCATTTGAAGGAGGGAAGATTTAAAACCATTTCCCCTCGTCCTGCTGTCATCTCCCCTTTCCAAGAGTTGACTCCCCTCCTGTTTGTAGGCTCCCTTTAGGTACTGAAGGCTGCCGTTCGGTCACCCCGCAGCCTTCTTTTCTCCAGGCTGAACAAGCCCAGCTCCCCCAGCCCGTCTTTGCAGCCCCTGCAGCTGAGCTCAGCACGGTTTGCTCGCCGTTTCCCGGCGGTGTCTCGTGGCTGAGGGCAGGGCTGTGAGTGTGCGGCCAACCACGACTGGAGGGCAGGAGGAGAAATGGGAGACAGGATGGCTCAGTCACAACAAACCCAGCGCGGTGTCCCTGCGGGCGGAGGCACGGAGGTGTCGCTGGGAAAAGGCTAATTAAAAACCAGGCTTTGAAGAGCCCTCGGAGCCGCGGCCCGGCTCTTAAAGAGCTCAATTAGAGGCGTTTGCCTCGAGGAAATGTAATGAGAGCAGCTCCTCGGGAGCGGTGCCACCACAGCTCAGCTGTCCCCGGGGCGCCCGGGCACTGCGCTCTGGTGGCACCGCTCGGTTCGTCGCGGCTCGGCGCTGTGAGGGGCAGCGGCCGGGCGCGTGCCGAACGGCTCCGACTCCAACGCCTGCCGCGCCGCGTGGCCGCGCACGCTGCCCCCGCCGGGCCCGCAGCGCCGGGAGCCTCGGCCCCCTCAGCGGCGGCGGCCAATCAGAGCTCGGGGGCGGGGCGCGGAGGTAGGCGGGAAGAAAAAGAAGCCCAGCAACCGCCGGCCGAGCGGCCAATAGGAGCGCGGAGCCAAGGAAAGGCAGGTAGTGCGGCCAATGGACGTTCGGTAAACGGCCGCCGCCGGGAGAGGAAAAGCCGGCGGGATTGGCTCGCCGTCTGACGGGCGGGGCTAGCGGCCAATAGAGTCGCGCGCGGGCGGGGCGCGCGGTGTGGCTAGCCGGTGCGGGCCGCCATTGTGGCCAGTTCGATCGGTATCGGGAGCGGAGAGCGGAGCTCAGCGAGCCCGGAGCAGGGAGCAGCCCCCCCCACGGCCGGCCTCAGTCACCATCACACCGCGGGAGGCGGCGCAAATAGCCAGTCACCACCACCGTCCGCACCGAACAGCCGCCGCCATGAGCAGCGAGGCCGAGACCCAGCCTCCCGCCGCCCCCGTCCCCGCGGCGGCCTCCGCCGCCGCCCCCGCCGACTCCAAACCCAACGGCGGGAGCGGGAACGGGAGCGGCGGCCTGGCCTCGGCGGCGCCTCCCGCCGGCGGGGACAAGAAGGTCATCGGTGAGGGAGGGAGCGGGCCGCGGGGCGGGGGAGGGCCTCAACGGGCGGCGCGCGCGCCCCTTCCCCCCTCCCCTCACATCCCCACCCCCGGGGCTGCGCGCGCCCTTCCTCACAGCGCGGCGCGCGCCCCCCTTCACCCGCGGCGGCCGTTGGGCGCGCGCCCGCTCCCCCTTCCTCCCCCCGCCCCCCTTCCCCTCCGCGCGCGCGCCGCTCGCCGCCGGGCCCCGCGTGTCGTTGGTGGGGGCGGGGCGGCGCGGCTCAAGATGTCCGCCACGCGGGGCCTTTGTGTGCGCCGCCCCGCCACGTGCCGCCCCTGACGCTGCGCCCCGTTCTCTCTTCTATTTCTCCTTCGCCCCCCTCCTCTCCCAGCAACGAAGGTTTTGGGAACAGTGAAATGGTTCAACGTACGGAACGGTTACGGCTTCATCAACAGGTGAGCTGGGCGGCGCGGGGGTGGGGGGAGCTCGGGACTTCATCCCGCGGTGGCGTGGCCCGCGTTAAGGCCTTTCCTGCTGCTCGGGGCGTTGGCGTAGGCTGTCAGCGCGCTGCGGTGCTCGTTTAGACCTCTCTGTGAAGTTGAGCGGGACAGGCGGTGCGGAATTGGGCAGAGGGGATGTTGAGGTTCGATGAGAGTCGTGCAGCTGTGGAGGAACAGCTGTGGGCATTGGTGCGGGTGAGAGGCTGAGCTGCTGAGAGGAGCTCTGCGATGAGGGACCTGGGTGTCCTGGTGGCCAGCAGGATGACCATACCAGCGGTGTGCTCTGGTGGTCAGGAAGGCCAGTGGGACCCCACAGAGCGTGGCGTGCAGAACGAGGGAGGTTCTCCTCCCCTCTGCTCTGCCCCGGGGAGGCCACATCCATAGCAGTGGGCCCAGTGCTAGGCTGCCCAGTTCAAGGCAGGCAGGGAACTGCTGGGGAGAGCCCAGGAGGGCTACAGAGAGATCAGGGCCTGTATGAGGAAAGCTGAGAGGGGATCTGATCACTGTTTCAAGGTATCTAAAATGTGGGAGTCAAGTTGGTGGGGGCAGACTGTTTTTGGTGGCATGCAGCAGCAAAACAAGAGGCAGTGAACAGAAACTGGAACACAGGAAGTTCCGTACTAGCACAAGGAAGAACTTTACTGTCAGAGTGGCAGAGCACTGGAGCAGGCAGCGGAGGGAGGTGGTGGTGTTTCCTTCTGTGTGGATGTTAAAGACCAACCTGGATACCCACCTGTGTGACCTGCTCTGGAGAACGTGTCTTAGCAGGAGGTTGGACTTGATCTCTAGAGATCCCTTCTGATCCATACAATTCTGTGATTATGTGATGTCCAGTGGCATTGATGTCGGTTAAAAATAGCGGTGGATGCCTAAAAGGAGGTGATCCTCAGACAGCTGTAAGCGTATAAGGAAATGTGCAAGATGCAGATTTCTTGTCTATCACAAGACCACAGAATGTAAGGAGGCCTTGAGAAACGTGCTGTTAGGATTCCTTCTCTGACAGCAGTTGATCTAGAGAGCAGTTCTTCCCTCAGTCAGTTTGGAGTGCCTGTGGGTGGTGGTTCTGCAGAGGCCATGTTTCCAGAAGGCGTTGTCATGCTGCACGCCCTGCAGGGCTGTTCTCTGCCAGGACCTTGGGATGGGGAAAGCCCTAGGGCAGCCCTGTTTCCTGCTGGAGGTCACTGCTGCTTCTCTCCTGTGTGACAGCACGTGGCTCTGCTGCCTTAGTTCCATCAGTGTGTTAACTTGGAGAAAGATGCACAAAATGGGAGCTGGGGGACTTGAAATCCACCATGGCAGGGTTTGACAGGAAGCTGGGGAAATCTTCTCCAGGGGAGCAAGTATTGGTACTGATGATTCTGTGGAAGTTTGACCTAAATGCCACCTTTTCATCTACCTGTTACACTGTGGCCTGGTCTTAAGCCTCTGAGCTCCTTGGCTGGCCGGTGAGCAGCTCTACAGCCTTGCCCAGTGTGCGTTCCCCACGTGGTGGCTGAGTGTCAGGTGTCAAACAGCTGGCAGAGCTGCTGCAGCATCCCAGCTCCTGGAGGTGCGTGCACAGCTACAGGTCGCTGCTTTACCTCTGGGGAAGGCTTTTCTGTTCCGCTCGTAGCTGAATGCTGCTGCATGAGTCAAGCACGGAAGCGGGAGCAGCTACTTAAGGCATCTGAATGGCTTCCCTGCTCGTATTATTTTGGCAGCTGTTTAATCCCTGAGGTTGCTGTTCCTAATGAGAAACGCAGCGTGAGCTCATGTGCTCCAGCTCAGCTCTCATCTCTTGATAACGCTTCTGCTCCCAAACGGCTCGGGCTCACCGAAGCTGTGGAGCGTTGCCTGGGTCTGCCTGCAGCTCACATTGGCTGTGGTTGTAGTCTGTTGGTGTGTGTTAGTATTAAGGACGTTTATTACTGTTTTCTGAAATATTAGGTTGAATTCTGTCGGTTGTTCCTTGCAGTTGTCAGTGTAATAAATGAACGTGCAGGCAGCTGAGTTGCTCTTGTTGCCATAATTGGAGCTGCACGCTGATATCTGGCTTTGTATTTACAGCTTTGCTGTGCTTCCTTAATCGCTGCTTGCTCTTCTGATTTTTTTAAAGAAGAGATTAAAGATATTGAGAGCATCGTCTGGCACCGAGAAGAGATGAGTGTCTCACAGGGCCTTCAAAATGGGCACCTCCTGTTCTGTTTCCTATTTTGTTTGCAAAGTACTGATCGTTATTCCCACATTATCCATGTGGCAGCACATGTACTTCTCCTAGATGGGCTTAGTGCAGAAATCCTGTGGCAGACGCTGGGTTATAGAATGAACCAGGAGGGTTTTTAACAAATCACGTCTCCACCTTGGTCTGGTTCAGCGGAACAGAGTTGTTTACTGAGCCAGAACTGCAGTGTGCTCTTCAATGGGAACTGTGATGTAGAAAGGGCTCTAAATGAAGTGAGGAGCAGCTGATGTGCTTGCAGGAATGGGGCTCGGGAGCAGTGTAGGGCATCCGCACAGAGCTTGGATGGTGAGCAGTTACCACTACTGTGCTCTCAGCAAGGGCAAGCACCAGACTGAAGGCAGGCTCTGGGCTTCCCTCAGGTCCTCAGTTCTTGGAACACCTGCGATCTCGTGTTGAGAACAGAAGCATTAGGCTTTGTAAGAGCTGCTGGGTGCTGCCTGGTGGGCCGGGGCTGAGCTGCCTCCTGAGCTGCCTACCTTCTGTAGCCTGCTGGGCTAACTGCTTTCCATCAGCTCTGCAGTGCTTCCTTGTGGAACTGCAAATGGGGGTGTGGTGCTGTGTGACAGCGCAGCTGTGACTCGGGTTGAATTGTTTCAGAGTTGTTGCTGTGTGTTAAAGCTGTGGTGAGGAGTCCAGGTACGAGCACTGCAGTGCCGGCTGTGCCTGCCGTGTACATCGTAGGAAATGAAAGGCACTCGGCGGGTGATTCGTTGGTCTGTGCAATGACTTGAAGTGAGGCTGTGGCAAGGCTCAGCCCTGCGATGTGAGCCTGAGGGTCAGCTGCAGGCAGGCTGTGATGGTGAGCATGGCTCTGCAGCAGCATGAGGACAGCTGGGGCTGTGCTCAGTAACTGAGAGCAGGAAGCTCCCTGTGCCCACCTGCCTGCCAGCCGCGCTGCTGCCCTGTGGAGTGCTCATGGATGCGGCCTGCAGGAAGTGGAGCTGGGGAAGCAGGCTGTGTGTGCTGCTTTTCATAGCCTGTGATGTCACATCTTCCACTGTGCTGTCCCAGGTATCTGAATTTCAAACTGGGCCAGCGCGCTGCTGGTCTCACATCTGAATTTCTGTTTCGTGCTGTCTTGCAGGAATGACACCAAGGAAGATGTGTTTGTCCATCAGGTAAGATGTGTTGGGAGCTGAAATGTGCTGTGCCTGACCCTAGCCAAGTGGGGTGGAGGGGAAAGTGGAGCTGTCGCACTTCCCCGCTGGGTTTGCACATCAGGCAGGCTGCTTTCCCACCTTGTGCTCAGCTGTGGCAGTGAGGTTTCCTGTCTCTCCCCTAAAATCACTGCTTACGTGCTGAAACGTGTGGACATGTTTTCTGATGGATTTTATTCCATTGAGGGAACAAATGGACCTGAATTGTGTTGCTGACATTAATTTGTGAAGTTGTGACACTTATTAAAAAGTGTTTGCTGAGTAGAATGTAGCTGAGAGCTGTGCTTACAGAGCATTCAGCGACTGTCAGAAATGCAATCTGCTGCTGAACAGCGTAGGAAATAACTCCAAATAAGCTCTTGTAATCAGTGCATGCACCTAATGAGAACACACAGAGCACTTAGTGAGAAACTTCTGATATTTTTGGGGGGCAGCTTTGTATCTCCAACTGGAAGCATGTGGGCAGACATTTCCAGGACAGCTTTAAGGCTGCGCCAGGTAGGCCAGAGCTGTATTGAAGCACACACGTCTTCTGGCTTTGAGTTTCCACTGTGGCTTAATTGCTTGTCCACGAGGATGCCTTAACAAACCAACAGTTAGATTCCTTCCCCCAGAACACCAACACAAACTTCACTCAGTAGCGTTTTCCCGCTGTGCCTGTGAGTGTAACTTTGCCATATTTGTTGTCAGACTGCCATAAAGAAGAATAACCCCAGGAAGTACCTCCGCAGCGTAGGAGACGGAGAGACCGTGGAGTTTGATGTGGTTGAAGGAGAGAAGGTAAAGCTCTGGGTGTTCTGGGAGCGTGCAGGGAGCAGCTCTGCGGGCTGTGCTGTGGTGCTGTGGTTTGAGCAGGCGCCCGATGGCATCCGGGGAGATGAATGGTTTACAGATGGGATGCAGGTGGGCACCGAGTGGCTCCGGTTTGCTGCTCGCTGCTTACCTGACCTCTCTGTGCTCCTCAGGGTGCGGAGGCAGCGAACGTGACAGGGCCTGGTGGCGTTCCAGTGCAAGGCAGCAAATACGCAGCAGACCGTAACCATTACAGACGATATCCGCGTCGCAGGGGTCCTCCACGCAACTACCAGCAAAACTACCAGAACAGTGAGAGTGGGGAGAAGAACGAAGGAGCAGAGAACATCCCGGAAGGCCAAGCCCAGCAGCGCCGTCCCTACCGCAGGCGGCGGTACCCACCTTACTACATGCGTAGGCCCTACGGGCGTCGACCACAATATTCCAACCCTCCCGTGCAGGGAGAGATAGTGGAGGTAACGCACAAGATGTGGTTCCTTTGCAGGGCTGCGTTTTATCGCCCTGCTCCAGATGCTGGAGATGTGCTCTGCAAGGCTGAGCAGTGAGATAAAACACAGCTGTTGGGTACAGCTGTGGGACGGCAGCGCGCTGGGATGCGTGTTAAGTTTTGTTAGGAGTGATGGGGCGCAGAGGAGCTCTGCAGCGCTGCTGTCGTGCGCTGAGGCCGCCGTCACCTCGCAGCCCTCGGTGTGGTTTGTCTGCCTGGCTGAGAGCGCTTGTTGCCTCGTGTCTTCCAGGGTGCTGACAACCAAGGTGCAGGAGAGCAAGGCAGACCAGTCAGGCAGAACATGTATCGAGGTTACAGACCGCGATTCCGCAGGTATGCTGCAGGCCGGCTCTCGCTGTCGCCTCGTGCTCTAGCAGCACGGCCGGAACGCCGCGGCGCTCAGATGCTGCATGGTTAAAGCCCAGCTTGACTTTCAGGGGTCCTCCTCGTCAAAGACAGCCTAGAGAGGATGGAAACGAAGAAGATAAAGAGAACCAAGGGGATGAGACCCAAGGTCAGCAGCCACCTCAACGTCGGTACCGTCGTAACTTCAACTACAGACGCAGACGCCCAGAGAACCCTAAACCACAAGATGGCAAAGAGACGAAGACAGCCGAACCACCAGCTGAGAACACGTCCGCTCCCGAGGCCGAGCAGGGCGGGGCTGAGTAAACGCCGGCTTAACATCTCTACCATCATCCGGGTGAGCGCCGGGCTGCTGGGCGCGAGGTGACGCAGGGATCTCTTGGTCTTGGGCGCTTCCCTCCGAGTTGTGCTTTGCAGGCTCGTGTCAGTGGTGCTGTGCCTGTTGCAGCTGAAGTGGCTGCACTGCTTGCTGGTTCTGCAGAGCCAGCTGTGAGCTTTTGCTGTGCGAGTGCTGGGTAACTGGGAGGGCTCTGCTACCAGGCTTTAATTTTCCCTGGTGGAATGAATATTGCTAACCTTAAAGCCTCAATTGCTCTCTGCTATCAAAGTTCACCCACAAGAAGCATTTTGATGCTGGTATGGTGACCTGAAAAAGTTGTGCAGGTGTGCACAGACACTAGATATTACTCAGGCCTGCCAGCATTGTGGCTTTGATTGCCCTGTGTGGCTTTTCCACCTCTACATGTCTGTTTCTTGTAAATGGATGTTGAATTTGCAGCATTTTGGTAGGAGCTTCTCACCCCGGAAGGGCTGGAAATGGTGGTGGAGGGGCTGCAATGGGAGGTGTGTTCTGCAGGGACCTCAGTGCTGTGCTGAGGCGCTGCTGGGCTGCCTGCAGCGCACGGAGGTCCCTGCTGAAATCAGAGCTTTTTGCTCATTCTGCCTTCTGTAGTCATTGGCTCTTTGCTCTCAAAGCAGGCAGGCCTGTATGGAGCCGCGAGGTTCTGGTGAGGGGTGAGGAGTGCTTTCTCCTGGGTTCCTCTGCGCTCACTTGTGATGGAAGCTGCCAGCTTCCATCCCTGCGCAGCAGGCTGCTGTGCTTGAGATTTGTGTGCGTGAAAGCAGCATGAATGTAACTTGTAGTTGAGCCTCTATCTGAACACCTCAGTGCCATGATGTGTCTGATGGGCCTTTATTTCTCTTTCTTTCAGTTTAGTCATCAAAGAAAAGACTTAAGAAATGAAGAAGAAAAGAAAATGAAATTCCAGCAATAAGAAATGAACAAAAGAATTGGAACTGAAGACCTTAAGTGCTTGCTTTTTGCTGTTGACCAGATTACTAGAACTATCTGCATTATCTATGCAGCATGGGGTTTTTATTATTTTTACCTAAAGAAGTCTCCTTTTGGAAACAATAAGCACGTTTTTTAAAAGTCTGTTTTTTCTCAATACACCTTTAAAGGTTTTTAAATTGTTTCATATCTGGTCAAGTTGAGATTTTTAAGAACCTCATTTTTAATTTGTATGAAAAGTACGCCTGATTTTTTCAAGTCAAACTGCAAGCATCTGTTAATAAAGGTCTTAAAGTTAATGACAGCGTGCTCTTGGTTCTTTCAAACCCACCTCTGTGAGAACAGCTGAGAAAAAACAGCTGGGAATAACTGCTTTAATTGTTCAGCGTTAAGTATTTGAATATTGGAACTGCAGAGCCTGCGCTGCTCGGTTTGCGCCCTCGGCTCTGCTCGGGGGTAAAAACTGCTGGGTGAGGAGGTGCTTGAGGTCATCAAACTGTTCCCAAAAGCTTTTGGGGACGGGAAAGGAGAAACGCTCCTCTCCTGGGGCGGTGCAGGGCGCTGCTGCTCCTGGCTCAGCAGAGGAAGCGGCGCTTCCAAAGGCGAGCGGCTGCGGAGTCCGGGAGCAGCGCAGCGAGTGCCGCTGGGTCTGACGGCCTGAGCGCCGAGCTCTGAGCGCGACCTGCAGCTTCCCTTTCTACCCGCTAATGAGCGCTCTGCTTTTATCATGCTAATGCTTGTTCTTAATTGCTTTCCTGTGTGCTCGAGCACCAGCCATTAGCAGCCCGGTGCGGCTGGGTTGTGCCCTATCTCCGTGCCTTTCAGCGTTTCCAGCTGCCAGTGGAGCGGCGGGTTCCTCCTGTAGGAGCCATTCTTGGAACGCGGAGCTGTTGCACAGCAGCTCGCGGTGACTGCAGGGCCGCGAGGCTTTCCCTCTCCCTTTCCCTTCCTTTGGGTTATAAGCTGAGCTTGAAATCGAGGCAGATCCACCTCAGCAATGGGGAGCGTGTTGGTTTGTGGTTTTCAGAGCGGTTTGTGAGTGAAGAGGGATAATGGTTAATTTGGAAAACGCTCCTTTACGTGTGGGCTTCAACACCCGGCTTTGAAGGAGCACCTGTTACTTTTCAGGCTGCTTTGTGTGCAGCGATGGAGTGGCACACAGATCACTGCTCCGAGCTGCAGCTGCAGCGTCACCCTGCCTGCTGCGCGGCCGGCCCGGCAGCCACGTGGAGTCAGTGTTGCTCTGTGCAGATGAAGCTTTTCGCTGAATTCCTCCACAGCAGCGATGCGGCAATGAGTGCAGAGCTGTGCTGCGCCCACAGAGGCATCGAGCATTGCTGGTACAGCTGCAGGGTACAACAGGAGCTTAAGGCACTCTGTCCACTGCGGGGCAGTTGGAAGAGATGACCTGGAAGTGCCCCTTTCAACTCAAACGATTCCATTCCCCAAGGCTTCTTATCTTACTGTGAGACGTCGCTGAGCTGCCCCTGTGGGTGACGGTGCTTTGATGAGGGGGGCTGTCCTTGGCTGGGCTGGGTGTGGGAGCTGCTGCTGCCCATCACACACGGGAGTTCATGGTGTACATCTTGGTGGTGACAACACGGCGCTGAGGTCCCTGAGGATGGCTGGGTGCTGGTGGGAGAGACAGCACTCCATTCAGGGTGTGTGTGTGTCGCCCCGCATGGCTGTGCCACGGACATGGTGACACACAGAGAGAAATGAACCTGGATGGCCAGCTGACACCTCCACCAGGACCTCAAGATGCCCTGGGCCGGGGTGGAGCATTTCTGCATTCCCCCTGTGCCCCCACGGGACCTATGGGGCTCTGCATGGCATGATGCAGCCCCCCCTCCCATCCCCCAGCCAGGGTGCAAATGCCAACTGCCCTTCATTTGCAGCCTGCAAGAAGCACCTGCACCCTCTGAGTCGTCCACCCCAGGTTTATCCCTGCATGACTCCATGGGGCAGCCTGGGGCAACACAGACTGACCTGTGTGGGCATGGAGGCAGCAGGTGAGCAGGACGGATGCCGCGAAGCAGCCCGTTGAGCCAGCCATCCCCAGCCAGCAGGACCACCCAAAGTCATAGTGGACCCCCAGGAAGAGGTTATGGGACACCAGCATGGCCCTCTCCACGTAGACATCCACTGCATACCACACGGAGCCCACGAGACCCAGGATACCTAGGAGGAATGGGGCCAGTTAAGAGTAAGCCGCAGAACCTCCTACTTCCCAGAAGCCCTCGGAAGGATGCCTCTGTCTCCCCGTGTCCCAGCTGTCCCCGGGTTCTCCTGACCACGCACTCGCAGTGCCAAGGATGGCACCAGCCCCGTAGCACATCTTCAGTTTGACACGAGGTTCTTCCTTGAGGAACTTGGTGCAGTCGAGCCCAAGGAGCAAAGTAGCCAAAGCCAGGCCCACCAGGAGGTCCGCCGTGATCAGCAGCGTCCGCGTCACCACAATCTTCACTGGTGAGAAATGAACAAAAAACCAGAAAGGGGACTACGGGGTGGTCAGAGGAAGTGGTGCCCCTCTCCAGACTGCTGCCTGTCCCTCCTGGACTTACCCAGCTCACTGCTAGATTGGGTTGGATAGAGCCCTGGGCAGCCTGGTCTGGTGGCTGGCAACCCAGCCCGTGGGCAGGCAGTAGGAGCTCAGGGACCTGCTAGGTCCCCTCCAACTTAAGCCGTTCCATCATCATTGGGCATCTCCATAGGATACGGTGACACGGGGACACCAGTGTCCACCACCCTTTGTGCTGCTCGCTGTATCTCACCAGGCTCATCAGAAACCTTGCAATGGGACTCAGTAAGTCCATCATCAAGAAACCACACAACTTAAGGTGCGCCATTCAGGAGCTGGGATGCTGTCACCTTCTCAAGACATTCTTGGCTTACCCTGCATGTTAGCTTAGGTAGAAGATGCTGCTGTCTGAGTCTGCTCATGTTGCCATCTGTTTGTGGCTTCTCCCTGAAAAGCCCTGAATCCCCACTTAGTCCATGCTAACTTCTGGTTCCCTTCTTCAGTGTCCAAATCTTCGTCCATAGAATCACATTATCCTGCGTTGTCTATATATAGGACAAGGGCCTGAGTTTCTCATTAAGGTCAACCCTTCACAATGAGGATCTTTTTCTCGAGGGAAATCTTAGCTGTGAACTCAAAGATGCCTTGTTGGGTGTTCACAAGAGGTTAAAGAGACTTGGTGGAATAGGCAAATGGTGCTGGAAATGGATTGCTTGACACTGTAGAGTAATGCTCCCACCCCAGACCATACTGTCCTACCTGGATGGTCTGCCAAAATGGAGTCATACTGGTCACAGGTCCTCACCCCATCCTGCATGTTGGTGACACATTCTCTCCAAAGCCCCCGGCATTTGTGACTCACCTGGAAGCAGGAGAAAGGATGCTCAAAGAGCACTCAAAACACCTCTGCTCCCCAGGGATCATAGAGTCATAGAGTGAGTTGGAAAGGACCCTAAAAGACCATCCGGTCCAACTCCCCTGTAATAAACAGGGACACCTACAACCAGCCCAGCAAAGCAGACCGTCAGGCCCTCACCTAGCTTTCAGCCACGAGCATGTGGATGCTCTACTCACCTCTAGGCTGTCATCAGCATTCACCATCCAGCAGTCGGTGCATGTGGCAAGGAGGAGGAATAGGGCTGAGAGGAGAGCGAGACCAAATGCTGTCATCTGCAAGATTGCACTCATGGAGACACCTGCAAGGGAACACGGAGATGCCTGCTGCCACCTCCCACTGCCTTGTCCACTGCCTGGGCCACAGTGCCTGGATCCCTAAGAGCAGCTCAAACGGCCTCCAGTTGTGCCAGATGAGGGCTGGATGGAAGATCAGGAAGGAATTCTCTATAGGGAGTGTGGTCAAGCACTGGAATGGCCGCCCGGTGGAGAGCTGCAGTCCCCAGCCCTGGAGGCATTTCAGACATGTGGATGTGGCACTGAGCGACAGGTTCAGTGACAGGACCTGTAGGTGAACGTGATGATTTCGCTCAGTGACCCTGAAGGCATTTTCCAGACTGGATGATTCCATAACCCTCAGTGCTGCCCCTCTGGGAATCAAGAGCTGCTTGGAAACTATTGTCAAAGAGCCTCTGTAGTCAGACCCCATTATTGGAGCACGTATCTCCTGAGATCCTAACGTTTTCTTTCATCATTCAGTGAAAAGATTACCTGCTTTTCCTTTAATGCCTTTTTAAGAAAAGCTGTGAAGTGTCAGAACACCCAAACTGGAGCACGTGGGGGTGTCCTGAGGAGTGTCCGATCCTCAAGTGGTAAAGAGGGCTGCTGTGCCTCCATGTGGTGCCTTTGGGTGCTGCTGAGCATCGCCAGAGAGCAAAGGGGACGGAACCGTGTGAATTCCATCAATGCCAGAATTGAGGGACTTCGCAGAGAAAGCAATTGAACAGCAGGTCTGAGCGGAGGGCATCACATCTCCAAGGGCTGGAGAAGACTCCTACTTCAGTGTGTTTTGCAGCCCAAGCCTTGGTGCTGCCATATGCTTCAGTGCCTGAACTGCAGCCGCTGTGTGCAGAGGTTCAAACCCTTAGGGTTTGTTTTTTACCCTTTCTTACTGACATTATTACTGACAGACCTCACCTTATAAAGCTCTTTTAAACATCCCAAGCCACCTTCTGAGCAACTCCCCGCAATCTTTCTTCCTTCCCCGAGACCCTGGCTGTTCTGCAGGCTTTGAAGAAAATCTGTTCAGCCATTTGAGTTAAATCAGGGGAAAAAAAAAAAACAAAAAACACCCAACAAAAAATTCCTTCTCTAGAGGAAACGCTCAGTCATTGTTTGCGCTTGGGTAACTCCAAAACAGCTTAGTTTTACTGCTGGAGCCTTGGCTGGTGCAGCAGGTGGTGGAGCTGCTGGTTTTGTTGTGCTTGGAGGTGTTTTATGGGGAATTAATGATGTTTGGGACAAAGGGGAGCTGGGAG